AGACATTAAAAGGTAAAGAGAAGGCAGTTCGGGACCTCAGGACTCATGTCACCAGGGTGGCATCAGCAGAGACCTGGTGGGAGCCTGAACTCCCACTCGAGCCCGGAAATTATGAGGCGCCCCTCCCCCAGCAGGTATAACAGCTGAATGGGAGCCTGGACTTCAACCCCAACCTGGTGGTACCCAGGAGGCCTCCTCCAGTGCAGTCTCAGAGAGGGACTGCTAAAACAGGAGACTGACATCATACCAGAGTCTCTTAACATCATACCCTAGATGACCAAGATACAATTTGAAATCGCCCGTAATACCAAGACCCACGAAATCTTAATTTGGACGAGAAAAGATAATTAACTGAGATGACATATATATTGATACCACCTGACACAGACTTTAAAGCAGAGACCATAAAAATGCTTCCGTGAGCAATTATAGAACAAACAGAAACACTCAGCACAAAAATAGAAGATATGAAGAAAAATCATGTTCTTTGCTTGGGCCTTAAAAGAATCACTCACATGTCTGGAATGACCACCCTCACTTCGCACCTGGGCCAAGGCTCCTTTCTCTCCCTGGAATACCCATCTCGGTCCTCTTCTCCCTTTTAAATCCTGCTTGACCCTTCGGATCAGCCAAGATGTCACCTCTTCTGGGAAGCCTTCCATGCCCCTCCCACTTAAAGCTCCTGAAACCATAGCACTTACACTCAATGCTAATTGTTCTGTCATCAGTCCCTCCCACCACCAGTGTGAAGACTTGACAGAGAGGACTGTGTCTTATCCCAGGCACCTGGCTTATAATAAGCACTCAAAAGAATATTTGTTGAATACATGAATAAACCAATGAATAAGTGGAAACTCTTCAGTGGCTCTTTCCTGTTGAATAAAATTAAACTCTGTGGTCTGCCATTAAATGCCCTGCACAAACCGACACACATGTTTTTGGTACTCAGGTTTCCTTCACACAGTCTCCTCTGCCATATGGGAAACACATTGTTTTTATCAAGTACCTTGTACTTCCCATCTCAACATGTACCATGTATGCTCTTCTCTCAGCCTAAATGTCCTCACCCATTTTTTAAAATGTATACTTGTATTGATTTCGGAGAGGAAAGGAGAGGGAGAGAAAGATAGAAACATCACTGATGAGAGAGAATCATTGATCGGCTGCCTCCTGCATGCCCCCTGCTGGAGATTGAGCCCACAACCCAGGCATGTGCCCTGACCTCCAGGTTCATAGGTCGATTCTCAACCACCGAGCCACCGTGATCGAGCTCTCACCCATTTTCATCATCCAAATCTTATCCATTTTGACAGCTCCACTCAGATACTCACCATGACCCAGCCCCGATCCTCCCAGCTACTAGTAGAAGGAGTCCTGCCCACCTCTGGATACACAGCACCGTTAGTCTTTTCCTGTGTTATTTCTTACTTTCTGCCTCACGTTTGCGTGGTTGGTTTTGTTTGTTTGTATTAATGCACTTGTAGTATTCTGAGTCCAAATAAACTTATCTCTTACTCACCTTTGCCTCTGCTACTGAGCCTCTAGCACAGCCCAGTGTTTCTGAGTTTGTTTCTTATTCTGAGATAACAGTACCTACTTCAGAAGGTTTCAATGAATATTAACTAAAACCCGCTATTTAAATCTTGGTATAGCATCTCCATTTGGATATGAGCTATTTCCATTGTTATGATGATGGTTATCTGAAGAAATAAATGGGCAGAGCAAGTCCCCTTAAGCTCTACCTTCAAAACATCTTTTAAATCCTGCCTCATCTCACCACTGCCATTATCATCACTCTGCCCCCAGCCATGAACATGGCTCTCGATATTATCACTGCAGTCCGCCTGCTTGCTTCCTTTCACGCTCTTGCCTCCCAACCTCTATTCTCCACCGGGCAGCCAGCATGATCTTTTAAAACAATAAAGCCGATCATATTACTTCCCTGATCAAAACCCTCCAATGGTTCCCTGATCTACGAAGAAAACCCAAACTCCTTGCCGAGGCCTGAAAGGCCTAATGGTTCTGGCCTGGGTCATTGTCGCCCTCGGCACGCTTCTTGCCCACCTTCATCAGCTGGGCTTCTTGCACTTGCCAGGCTTTGCATCACAGGGCTTTGAACTTGCAATGTTCTTTGCGTCGCATAATCTCTTCCCCACTTCATTCAAGTGAGCTATGCTCTCAGTTCCTACCTCCTTGAGAATAACCACATGTCTAAAATACCAACTATTACTCTCTATCTGTTTCATATTTTTCAAAGCTCTTAATCCAACCTGAAAACATGTGTGTATATTTACTTAGACCAGTGGTTCTCAACCTTCCTAATGCTGCGACCCTTTAATACAGTTCCTCATGTTGTGGTGACCCCCAACCATAAAATTATTTTTGTTGCTACTTCAGAACTGTAATTTTGCTACTGTTATGAATCGTAGTGTAAATATCTGATATGCAGGATGTATTTCCATTGTTACAAATTGAACATAATTAAAGCATAGTGATTAATCACAAAAACAATAGGTAATTATATATGTGTTTTCCGATGGTCTTAGGTGACCCCCAAAGGGGTCGCGACCCACAGGTTGAGAACCTCTGACTTAGAGAAATGGGTTGGTTTCCCGTCTTTCTCTTCACTGGAATTGTAAGCTCCAGGAGGATTTGTCCACGGCTCTGTCCCCCAACATCTAGAACAGTGTCTGGCACATAGTAGGTGTTCTCTAAGACTGTCTGAATGCTGGCGGTGAACTCCTCGGAGGGGGGCTTTGGGACCAGAAGCAGCATCCTGCCGCACACAGTTGCTTACCTGCTCTGGGCCTCTGTGAAGAAGAATAGTGGGTTGATCTCCCTAAAGGGGATGGGAGGTGGGGAAGACTCATTGATCATGACTTAGAGGACATTCCCCTTTATCCGCTTAGATGAAAATCTGGCAGAAGATACTTCCAGGTCTGCATTCCATAATGAACGGTGTCGCCCTCCAGTGCTAAGTGTCCGGGGCTGGCTACAGGCGTAGCAGAGGCAGCCGAGCCGCCCAGCCTCCCAGCATCTTCAGGTTCTCCCTTGTCCCAGGGCCTCGGCCCTGCTAGGCTGGCCAGGCCTGCGAGAGCACGTTGACTTGTTCCAGAGGCGAAGCCCCCGGAGTTCCTTGACACTGCCCTCACTGGCTTCATGACATCCACCTGGAGGAGCCCCGAGGCCTGGCTGAAGGTTGGGGTAAAGGATGAAGGGGAGAGCTCTGGATTCGGGACACCTGGACTCCGGGTGAGCTGGGGAAGCCACGTGCCCTCTCTGGGCCTTACTTTGTCTTTGCCATAAGGGAGCGGAGTTGAATGTATCTTTGAAGGCCTCACCAGCAGTGACTTTCTGTAGGTATATGAGCTTCACGTAGGGGATGAATTGGACTAGGGTGTGCAAGGGTGAGGCAGAGGGGAGAGAAACCCAACATGGAGGCGATGGGGCTGAGGCCGAGTGGTAAGATCCCAGCATGGCCAGCAGGTGGAACCATTGCTGCACCAGGAGGCTTAGGCAAAGGGGAAAGTTTGTCTAAAACAGTGGTTCTCAACCTTCCTAATGCCGCGACCCTTTAATACAGTTCCTCATGTTGTGGTGACCCCCAACCATAAAATTATTTTCGTTGCTACTTCATAACTGTAATTTTGCTACTGTTATGAATCGTCATGTAAATATCTGATATGCAGGATGTATTTTCATTGTTACAAATTGAACATCATTAAAGCATAGTGATTAATCACAAAAACAATATGTAATTATATGTTTTCCGATGGTCTTAGGCGACCCCTGTGAAAGGGTCGTTCAACCCCCAAAGGGGTCGTGACCCACAGGTTGGCGACCCACAGGTTGAGAACCGCTGGTCTAGAAAGCTGAGACCCTTCAGTCCAGCCATCAGAACTAGTCGCCACCCCTTAAATACACACACACGCACCCCTTCCTCCCAAAGCTGCATACCCTGACAAAATACTACTTAGGTTGCTGGGCCTGAGGCTGGAGGCCTTTTGAAGACTCAGTTGCCTTTCCCCCTCCTCCCATGTTCCCTGGGAGCCTGCACCCTGCACCCACCCCTGCACCCCTGCTCCCCTGCTCCCCTGCTCCTGCCACCCTAACTGGCCAGCCCCTCATCTGGTCACTCTCATGGGAGGACGTGTGACCAGACCGATGAAGGCCAACCTGACTTCTTTTTTTTCAGATGACCGACCACAAAAAATCACCTTCTGCTCTAGATCTCCCCCTTCCGTCTCCTGGGGAGGAACCTCTGGTTAGAGCAATTGGAGAAAGCAAGGAGGAAGTGGGGTGGGGCCCTGCTGAAGGGAAAGGACTGGCTTTGGTCAGATAAGAATGGAAGGATCCTTTGTTTGGGCCCAACTGCCTCCGCTGCTGTTGACACACTCGGAGAGCATTTCCTGAAGCTCCTCAGTGGTGTCCGGTGCCCCCCCCCCCCCCCCCACTGAGGGGGGGTGGGGTCTGGGCAGGAGACGGTGGTGTGCTTACAGAAGGTGTTACAGTTAGGCTGCTGTCCTAAAGCTGAGGCTGGAGACCACCCCTCCCGGTCCTGGCAGCCAGATCTCCCTGTTCTGCTCCCAGCCAGGGGCGGGGGATGGTGTGTTCACAGAGGGTGCACAGGGCATGGCTCCTTCCCTGTGTTTTGCATATTTTGCATACAGTCACCAAAATGCACCTCTTCTCAGAAAGGTGTTCATGAAGGGTATGGCCCCTCAGATGTCAGCACACCAGCCCCCATCCTGAAGGCCCTGCATTTCGCTCTGCCTTTCTTTCCATGACTAGAGATGTCCAGCGTCCCGTGAGCCTTCCCCGTCTCCCCCCAAGAGAGGGGAGTAGTTGGTAGCCTTATCCCAAGGGGCCGCATCCTGGTGGGTACCTGTGTCCCGAGATGGTCCTCCCTACACATCACTGCACAGTCCAGCGGATCGGACGGAGAGACGGGCCGCTCTGGCACTCAGACACACCCAGCTGGGTCAGAGCCACAGAAAAAAGTGTTTCACTATTACTTTAATTACAGTATTTACACACCATTCTTTATTCAGAAGAAAAAAATCTACCCAATCATCCTATCTCTGGAAAGTTCTATTTCCAACCGTCATTGAAATCAGGATCCCTGCTCACCCCTCTGGAAAAAAACCCCCACAAAAATGAGGACCTGGGTCACCCACAGAGGAGGTGGCTGTGGTGAGGGTCCTCTGGTGGCTGTCCTGGGGCCCTGACCACCAGGGGATGCAGAGCAGTGAAGGGGGTCAGGGTGGGGGAGACAGGGACAGAGGGAGTCTGCTGGGGGCCTGAGGACACAGCTCACCCCAGGAATCGGGGGGCGGGGGAGGAGGAAGCCATCGAGATCAGAGGGTAAGGTCAGGACCTCGCCTAAGAGCAAGAGGCTTCCTGAGATGCGCACAGGTCAAGGGGTTTGGCTCAGCGATGTGGTCCCGTGTTCCTGTCCACTCTGACCATTGGGAGGAAAGAGCCCACGCAGAGGCTCTGGGAGGTCCCGGGACGACCAGCACTGAGCTGTTTGCTCTCCTCCACTTGCCCCCATGGGTGGGAACACATGTGTCCATGCACCTCCATCCCGTCTCCCAAACAGAGACATTGTTCTACAACTCGGAGCCCCGGTCCAGGCTCAGCCAGAAAGCTGTGCGGCCTCTGCACACAGAGGTGGCGGGACCGCAGAGCTCGGGGGAGCCTTGGAGAGCAAGAGGGAAGCAGGTGACGGGTCCACAGGGACTTGGAGGGGGCGTAAGGTACATGGTGTAAGACGACAAGGTGTCCGGCTATATCATAACAAAGAGCAGGTGTAGTGAGCTGCTTTGGTTTCCTTAAAGCAAAGAAAGAAAATATAAGGAAGAAACAGTAAAAGGCAAGGCCTCCTGGGAGGAAATTGTAGCCCAGAAAAGCCCACGCTTTCTCCCGGGAGTTCCCAGAACGAGGCAGAGATGCGGGAGAGGAAAGGGGCCAAGTGTGAAGGTTGCAGGATCATCCACCCCGACTGGAAGCTCCTCTGAGCTTTGGCTTTTCCCCGTCACATCCTTCCTCAAGGGAGCCCAGGGCCTGGGTTCAGGGAGCTGAATGCATGAAGGGTTACCTGCCGCTCCCCAAGGTGGAGAGAACCCCTCTATGGTGCAGGGCAAGGCCCCAGGAATGGCCATGGAAGGTGTGTGCAGTGGCAAAGGGTAGAAGGCGAGGGATGGCACCTCCGGCAGGGCGGGCCTCCTCCCCCCTGACATCGCCCCGCCTCGCCCCACCCCGCCGAGTCACAGTTCGGTATCAGCCACCGTGTGTTGTCTCGACGAATGGCCGTTTCTGGAGGTGGCCTGGCCGGTCCCGTTCTCCTGAGCCCCTCGGTTCACACTGGCCTTTCCCTGAGCCTCAGGGGAGGCCCCCGGGCCTGAGCTATAGCCCTGGCCGCCACCGTTCTCCGTGTAATAAGGGTCTTCCCCCTAGACGGTGCATAAATAAAGGAGCATTATCTGTAAGCAGGGGAGTGAGACCCCGTGGGGGAAGGGAGGGGGGCGGCTGCCTGTGCAGATTCCTTTCTTCCGGAAGAGCCATCAGGGTTCCAGCTCCTAGAGGAGAAAGGACAGAGGAGAGCACCACACCGCCACCCAGCCGGCAGCCAGCTCCCCAGACACCCGGCTCCCCGACATGTAACAACCCCCCCCAACACCCCCATCCCGCCCAGAGGCCACCAGTCAAACCCCAGCCGTTCCTTCCTCATCCAGAACATGTCAAAAATGGGTTTTTCCCCCCAAAAGAAATTTTTTTAAAAGTACGTTTTCCCACCACATGCCCCCTTGTGAGCCACATGGCACCCGTGGCCACGTAATATGTTTGCAAGTGGCTGACTCAGCAGGCTGCTCCGGTCGTGCCCGGATGAACTATCCCAGTGAAAAGAATAAGTTGATGGCAGGGACCATCTGCGACCACAGTGAGGTGGGCTGGTCCCAGGCAGTCCCCCTCCCCAATCGGCAGAAGTCGGCTTACAGTTGTGAGTACACGAAGCACAGAGTTCATTCTTATATGATTATTATTATTATTTCTTAATGATTGCATTAGTGAATATACAAACAACTGAAAGCCTACTTTTGGCCCACCCTGCATCTTGTTTTGACTCATCCAAGGACATGGTATGTATAGGCTTGGCCTATCCCTGTGGAAGGGCACAAACAGTGCCTTTTCTGGTATTCCTCCTCCCCTGACATGACATTCATGGGCTGCCCCAGAAGCCCACCATCTTCCTCATTTCCTGTGGCCTGGACCCCAGAACTAACCAGCCTTTCTCCTGTGGGGCTCCAACTGCGGCGGTTCATCAGGAAGTAGCCAGTGATGCCCAAGACAGCCAGCAGGATCCCCGAGGTGACCAGTGCAATCAGGGTCTTGGGGGTATAGCGCTGGTGGTTTTCCACACTTTGGTCTGTGAAGTCTTGGATCCCCAGCTGGAAGAGAAGGCACAGAACAGACAGCCTAGTCACTTGTGGGATGTGGGTTGTAGAAAGGAGTCCAGCCCACACTAGACCCGTGTGTGTGACCCAACAGTGGGTGAACACAGGAAGACATGGACCTCAGGAATTTCCTAAATAGGATTTCAGACTGACAGCTCTTCATCAAGCTGCACTGTGAGATTTTGGTTCAGCATAGGAAGGTGAAGATTGTTGGAGAAGGATGGAGAGGGAGGAATGGGAAGTCTAGAGAGGATCATTATTCTCTCCCCTACTCCAGCGAACACCCCAAACCCATCATCTTCGAGAACTTACCTTTCTCAGGTCAGATTGGTGATCTTTCAGAAGTTGGAACTTGCTGGTCCGTTCTAGAATTAGAAACAGGGGTCGCTGAATCTAGAAGCTGAGCCAGCCCATCCTGCTCTGTCCTCCTAAGCTGTTTTAGAAGATGCTCTGATGGCCAGGGTGGCTCATCTCAGGACGGCCTCTCCCAAAGTCAGCCCAGCCCTGCCCCCCAGCCCCTGCACTCTCTGAGTTACGAGGCCTGATTTCTACCCAGCATCCTCTAACCTCAGCCCCACTCCCTTCCTCGCCCCCAAGACAGACGTGCCCCTTACCTGTTTGGGTGGGCAAGACGAGTAGCAGGCAGCGAGGGTTCACCTCAGACTGGGCAAGGAGCAAGGAGCACACACTGGTCCCAGCCTCAGCCGGATCCTTCTTACACAGGACTTGGGTCAGCTCCTCTCCCTTGTCCTTCTTAAAGTTCTCCTGGGAAGACCAAGGAAAAGGACGAGCAAGAGATGAAATTACTCTTATGTCCTGAACTGCATCCAGAGACTTGACAATAATTCTGGTTAAATCCTTCACAGGAAGGATCCCTTTTTTCTAAAATTCCAACTGGGAAAAAACACACATACACACACACAAAAACAACACACCTCGAACTATGTGTGTGTAAGAACACAGTAAGAAAAAAACACGAAACAAACTTCTCAGTACCAAAACATATATCTATTAGTGTCTTAGGTGTAAGATGCCAGAGAACAAATTTATAAAAGGACTGCCCCTGCCCACATATACTATTCAAAGTAAATTCAAAAGAATTTGCCAATAACAAAAAATATTAATAGCGCAATACTGAGGAGAAAATCTTTTGTTTCAAGGCTAGAATAGCTCCAAATGTTAGGAAAAAGCCAAGAGGGGCGAGGAGTGGAGACAAAATCTATGACTATAGACTCGGCAGGATCCTGGGTCCCTTCCCTCTTACTCTCCAAGGAGTCTCACAAAGGTCATGGTGCAAAGGGAAATGGTCCTTCTGTCAAGCCTCTATCCCCCTTGCCCATTAAAAGTATGGAACCCTTGCCCAGTCAGTGTGGCTCAGTAGTTGAGCATCAACCTATGAACCCAGAGGCCATGATTCGATTCCCAGTCAGGGCACATGCCTGCTTTTTGGGCTCAATCCCCAGTGTGGGACATGCAGGAGGCAGCCGATCAATGATTCTCTCTCTCTCTCCCTTTCCCTTCCTCTCTGAAATCAATACAAATATCTATTAAAACATAAGTTTGGAGCCCGTGCTTTCGAGGTTCAGAGGTCTTCCTCCAGGCTGTTGACTGGTCCAGACTGAGGAACTGAGTCCTACTCAGTTTATCAGCAGATAAACTGATAATTCTTCAACAGTGAGCCAGGCCGGGGCCCTGGCTGTGCCTTCCAACACCCCGTTCTCGAGTGCCCCAGGGTTGTGCCGGCAGCCTCCCGTCAGAGTGGCCTCCCCTGCACAGGAAAGGAGTGGAAACCAAGACTCTCCTCTGTCCGGATGGCAGATGGCGGAGGAGGAAATGCCTGAACAGCTCTGACCGCCTTCCTGTTAGGGGAAAACTGCTGGGGCGTGTGAGGGCCATCAGAACTGAGCCTACGTGGAGGAGAACGCTTCCTGTTTGTAGGCAGGACTGCTTCTGTGGCAAGGCCAGAGGGCCCTCCCAGCTTGGACGGCGGCCTGGGTATTTTCCTACTGCCCTGGCCCAAGGCAGGAAAGCCCAGGCTCCTTTGCTCTCGCACAAGGCAAGGTCAAGATTGGCCTCAGGCCCCAGCTTGCTTCCATCAGCTGGAGTTTTAGGGAGCTGAGTGAAACTTACTGGGCTTGGATGAGGCCGGGAGAGCAGGCCTCGCTGACCTCCAAGCCACAGAGAGATGAGTCCATCGGCGGCCTTGGAAGGCCTCTGGGAGCTGAGGTCTCAGAGAAATGGGCTCTCGGGCCAGGGCTGCTTCAGCCCTCAGGAAAAGGCTGAATTCTGCAGGTCTCCCTTGTGAAGTCCTGGGTAGAGGCTCTGCTTCCGGAAAAATCTGGCTCCTTGCTACAGGTAGCCTGGACACCACATTGGACACACTCAGTAGTCTCCTTCCTCTTGAGGCCCATGTCCCTTCTGAGAGCCGCACCTGGCTTCCCTGAGCACTACACCCTCCCTAGCGCCATGCCTTCGGAATGAAAAGCAGGGAAGTGCTGCTGGATGGCTGGGCTTCTGATGTGTCTCTGGTTGGAATATGTCTCCTTCCTGCGAGGGGCAGAGGGACAGGCTCTTGTACATTAAAACAAGCCAAGCGAGGTGGCACCATCTTCAAGCAGCTGAGTCCAAGAAGCTGCACCTCAATCAGATCCTGACATTTATCAAGCCCTGAATATACGATGCTGTGTGAAAACCTGTGTCACGTGGTACATGTGTCACGTGGTGTGTATGTGCGTGGGCGGGGGGAGAGTAGCATGAATCCTACATGTCCAAGCTCCGGGTTTGTGTGCATGGCAATGAACATAAATGAAGTTGACTATGTCCCAGGCACTGTTTCAAGTGTTTTACACATATTGATTCATTTAGCCTCACATCACTCCATGAAATGGGTACTGTCATTCTCCTCATTTTATAGATGAAGAAACGGAAGCAAAAAGAGACCAAAAGGTCACAGACCTGGTTTACCAAAGAAAGGTACAATTAAGAAGCTATGGGTGTTCAGAGGAGGGTGAGCACACATCTGGCGTGGAGCTATAAGAGCGTCTCGATGTAGGCCTTGAAGAATAGGCAGAAAGTGTAGAGGAGGAGCCAGTGGGCAGAGGCCTTTGATTGGGGGAACCCCCATGAGGAAGCTCAGAGGCATGAGAGCCTGTGACTGGCACAAGCCTAGTTGCAGGAGAATGAAGAACACTATCTTCTCCCTTGGATTCCCCATCCCTCCAAATCCCACTTCCTCCCTGAAGCCGGTCCTACCTCCCATCAGAATGCGCATCAACGTTTGCTCTGCTAGTGACTAGATTCTTTCATGTCATGCAGTTTGCCCGAGTGCCAGGGTCCTTAGCTGAAGACTGAGTTGTTGAGGTGAGTAAGGAGGTGTTGTATGAAGAGTGCCCAGCAGGCTTTTGAAACCCCCAGGGGCACTGGAAAAATGGCAGCCATTACTATTACTATTAATAATAGCAATACCTTATGTACTCTGCCATCTAGTATCCACATTTTGATGTTTAATCATATTCTGCCTTATTGTTTTTGTCATTTCTCCCTGACCAGACTGTAAGACTCCTTAGTGTGGGAGCAGGTGTATGTTACATAACGTGGAACCCAGACTGAACTAAGCATAGCACCAAATAAACAAAAAGTGCATTGTTGTTCAACCTAGCATCCCAACTGGTCTGGCCTTCACACAGAGTCCCTCCGCCCCTTGCTTGGTTTCTTGGACTAAATTCAAGGGAATAACGGCGGCCAGCCTCCCACTCGGCATCAGTGAATTGTGTTTGAGCCTGGAGACGAGCAGGTGGATCCTGAACAAAGCACAATGCTTCTCCGGATGCTTGAAATAAACATCCTTCCCCAGGAGAGGCTGTGGGCAGACATCATGGGAGAGGGGGCAGGAGGAGGCCACAGCCTCACCATATCGCTCATGAGAATCCGATTTGTGAGCCCCCGACTACATCTGCTTGCACAAGTTTCTTTGCAAAAATAATAACCACAATCATAAAACCACCCAACCTTTCTAGAGTAGCACCCTCAAACTTTGCAAGGACTCTTAACTTGTCAAGGAAGCATGCTAAGCATTACAGTAGGGAGAGAAGGACAGGAATTTTTCTAAATGACCTTTAAGATATTTCCCAGTGCTGTCTCTCTCTCTCTCTCTCTCTCTCTCTCTCAATAATTTTTTTCTACTTTGGTGTGAGCTTGAAAATGCAGGCAAAACCTCTATGTTCATATGGGTTCTGGATTAATTAAAGGACCTGCTACAAGTCACACAACAAGTGCACAGCTGACCAAGGGCACGAAGTTAGGCTGTCTCCAGATTCCAGGCTCTTTCCAAGAAACACACTGTCTTCATCAGTCCTCCATCTGTAAGCTGTTTTTCTGCATGGAAACTGACCTTTCGTGTTTGGGCATAGGGCAAGGAAGGCGTGGGCTGGGGATATGATGTGCAATCTGCCTCCGATGAAGTCAATGGGACTGAATAAGGGTGAGGTGAGCTAGCTGAATAAATAAAACCTCCGTACAAACAGATCTGATTCTAAAGAAAGGTCGTTCTAAAAACCAAATTGGCAGGTAAAGGACTTAAATAGAGATTTCTCCAATAAGATGTACAAATGGCCAATAAACACATTAAAAGATGATCAATGTCATTGATTGTTAAGAAATGCCAGCCCAAACCACAATGAGATAGTAGCCATGCCCATTAGTATGGCTACTATAAAACCAAACCAAACCAAACCAAACCAAACCAAACCAGGAAATGACATTTGTTGGCAATGATGTGGAGAAATTGGAACCCTTTTGCACTGTTGATGGGGATGTAAGATGGTGTAGCTGTTATGGAAAACATAAACTCTATTTAAAAATAGAATTACCATATGATCCGCCATTTCACTTCTGGTTAAATAACCAAAAGAAATGCAATCAGGGCATTGAAGAGATATCTGTATACCCATGCTCATAGCAGCATTATTCACAATAGCCAAAATATGAAAGCAACCCAAGTGTCCGTCAGTAGATGAATGGATAAACAAAATGTAGTATATACATGCAATGGGAAAAGATATCCAGTCTTAAAAAGTAAGGAAATTCTGACACGGGCTCTAGTATGGATGAAACTTGAGGGCATTATGCTAAGTGTTATAAGCCAGTCATAAAAAGATAAATACTGTATAATTCCACTCATATGACATACCTAGAGTAATCAGATTCAGAGCAATAGAAAGTAGAATAGTGGTTGCCAGAGGCTAGGAGGAGGGGAGCATGGGACATTGTTTAATGGGTGTGGAGTTTTAGTTCTGGAAGATGAAAAGAGTTCTGAAGATTGGCTTCCCAACAAGGTGACTCTACTTAACACTGCTGAACTGTACATGTAAATATGGTTATGTCATGTGTATTTTACTGCCATTAAAATATTTTTTTGGTGGATTCTCCTGGAAAAGAATGGGTATGGCATAAGAGAATAAAGTAACCTCACATTTTGGAAACAATTTGAGAAGCCACAACCACAAAAACTTAATTAACCTGAGGTTGCAGCAGAGAAAATGAAAGTCAGACTTGGAGTGACACGTTCTGCTAATGAGGGTTCTGAGCTGTGGTACCAGGTGCTTGAGAAGAGCGTGGGCTCGCCCTTCCTCTCCGTGGATCATACAGGTGATGTGTGCCTAGAGGTGAAGGATGGGGAGTGAAAGAAGGGTGGTTGGGATACAAATGTCTACAGAATGCATGTGTGGAAGAATGAAGCCGAAAGAATCCACACAGCGAGAGCTAACATGCCGGATACTCAGTAGGTACTGGCACAGAACGAGAATCTGAATGGCTGAGAACAATGCTTGTGCATTTCTCTCCTGGGAGTACAGATGCAGGAGATGCCAACATTATCTAAGTATTCAAGGACGTGATGTTAGGGGAATCCAAACTCTCATGCTTCTCATTAGGCTGTGAGTAGGACCTAAGTTTCCCATGGTTAGAACCAGTACCATAAGGCCTTCTGACATCAAAAGTACAAAGCAACCTAAGGAAAGTTAACACCGCACCATCAGCATTGGGAACTGACTGATGATCAATCATGTAGGACTCAAGGAAAAGGAATCTGGGACACAAGCAGGAGCTGTGGCTAAACATTCAGAACAAGGATGGCTGGCTGAGGAAAACGACCTTGGGGAATTGTAGGAGGCATTGCTGCTTAGGGTCTGGGGAGGAGGGGACCTCAGGAAGGAAGGGGGATCGATAGTGGTAGACCCGCCAGGGAAACGATAGCATTCCACTGTTGCTACCGTAGACTTGATTCACTGCAAGCAGAGCAGAAGCCTTTAGAATCCTGGGGGAGCTGCTCTCTTTCCACACTGATACTCACGGACCCTCCCCACATCTCAGAGGAGAGTGCAGATCTTCTCAGCTGTGTCACAACATAGACTAGACCAGCCGTGGGCAAACTACGGCCCGCGGGCCGGATCCGGCCCGTTTGAAATGAATAAAACTAAAAAAAAAAATAAGACCGTACCCTTTTATGTAATGATGTTTACTTTGAATTTATATTAGTTCACACAAACACTCCATCCATGCTTTTGTTCCGGCCCTCCGGTCCAGTTTAAGAACCCATTGTGGCCCTCGAGTCAAAAAGTTTGCCCACCCCTGGACTAGACAGTCAAGACCACAGGGTGAGAGAGGTCATAGCAACGTAAGAGGAATTATTTCTGGAGTAGCAGGAAGTTCCTGGCACTTGTTTTATATGATGATCCTCGTTAAACGTGAACTTTGAAGAGAAATGGACAGACATGTAGAAGGTTATGCAATCAGCTCTAAATTGTTGGTACAAAGAATGAGCATTCTGGCACAGACCCGTGATGCACAGGAAAATAAGCGTTCAACCAAGATGATAGGGAAAAAAAGGGGGTGAGGGGGGGATGATTATTTTCCTGAGCTAGAATTAGCAAAGGATTTGGCTTTTTTTTTTTAATGAGTAGAGTTGGAAGTCAGCATCAGGAACACACAGAGCATTTTATCCTTGACCGGAATCGAACCTGGGACCCTTCAGTCCGCAGGCCGACGCTCTATCCACCTGAGCAAACCGGTTTCGGCAGGCTTTTTTTTTTTTTTTAATGAGTAGAGTTGGAAGTCAGCATCAGGAACACACAGAGCATTTTATATTCGTGTCTAAGTTAGCTCTTTTGCAAATTGCACTTAGTTATTCCATTGTGTGAACTTACGTCTTCACAATTTATTTTGTTTTTAAAAGTCCTAAGTTAATTCTCTAAGGTATAATTTTAAAAGTTCTGTGAGTCAGAACCACCCACCTAATAATCACAGGTAGATGTCAGTAGTTAGAATAGACAAAATAAGTAATTTCATGCGCTCTACAGCACAGTCAACTCCTAGCCCTTTCCGGGTCGGTGTATGCCTCACATCACATGTATGGTTCCTTTAAATGGATTCTTAACTTATAAGGAAACTTTTTTTGTGGGTGTTTTTTTTTTTTTGTAAGTAAATACTACTCTTCCTGTCACATCATCCTTCACCCAGAGCCTTGTTACTATCAGGAAACTAGGTTTATTGAAACAAAGTAAGGAGGTCTACTATATCATTAAAAATGAACACGACACTGTACATTCTTACCAATGCACTAAGACATGAAACTCAAACAAAGAGGCATAACTACTAAAAATGAGGAGAAAAACAACAGATTGTGGAAGGTAACATAATAACTTACCTTAAAAACAGAAAAGAATAAACTAAAAAGCTCCTGGAATTAATAAGCAAGTTAACCAAAATGGCTAACCTCAAGATAAATATTCCAAACTCAATGAACTCTAATATCCCAACAATAACTAATTGTAATACATAGTAAGTCTATATTATAGATAAATTTAAGAAATCTATAAAACCTATAGAAAAAAATTAAAAAACTAAAAAAACCAAGATGCTGAATAGCATAAGAGAAGAACAGAAAAAATATGAATTTTAGTTTCAATTAAAATTTTAATTTAAAAAAATCTTGACAAGATGTTCCTAAATTTTTTATAAAAGAATAAAAAGTACTTTTCATTTTTCATAGAGCAAGGACCTGCCTGGCTAAATATTAAAAGTCCTGTAATGTAAAAGTATAATAATTAAAAAAATATTATAACAGGCAAAAAAAAAAGACAAACTGAACAAATAAAATATCTGTCAAAATATGCCCTGTGACATATAAAAATTTAATATAAGCTAAAAGAAGCATTCTGATCAACAAAGAAAGAAATAATGTTTGGGAAATGGTTATATGAAAAACACAGCATTACAGAAAAAGAAATTCTATATGGACTAAAGTTATATGTAAATAAATATAATAAAGAAGTTAATATTTTAGGTGACTATTTTCTATTTCATGAAGGACTTTCTTAATATAAAATCAAACTTAAATCTGACTATATATATTAAATGTACTATAGAGACTATACCAGAGGAGGTAAAAACTACATTTAAATAGAATCATCTTTGTCTTCTTTGTCCACCAGATGGGGCCTCTTACTCCCTAAACGCAAAGCTCATTTTGGAAGTAGCCTGACCTTGCTAAGACCCCACCACAGTCCATCTAGTACAAATGGTTTAAGGGGGTTGAGAAGGAATTGTGGGAGGAGGGGAGAGGAAGGCAAGGCATGGGGGTGGGGATTTGACTTACACAGGTGGAGGTCTCATTTAGCTGCAGGCAGATAGCTAGGGTCAATTTCACTTCTTTGACTCCGAAACATCTGATTTCTCCCTGTATTAAAACAAAGTAAATAAGCCAGCATCTTTGCCTCTCATTTCTTCCCCACCGCTTTTCCAGTTTGATTTCTGTGAAGTACACTCTTAAGAGACTTTCAGAGAAAAGAATTTTAAAAAGTCTTTAGGGAAGGGGAGAGGTGGGGGCGGGGGGAAAAGAGGGTCCTAATATAAGGTGACGGGAGAATATTTGACTTTGGGTGGTGAGCACATGGTGCAATATACAGATCTTATAACATAGAAACCCACACCTGAAACCTGTATGTTTATGTTGACCAATGTCACCCCAATCAATTTAATAAATAAAATAAAATAAACACATAAAAATTTGTTAGAGGACTAGAGCTTTATGACAGCCTCACTCTCTTCCTCCATCTCACCGCCGGTCCCAGCAGATACCAGCTATTTGCAAACTTGGTAAACACTGGCACGCACTGTGCAGAGATAGGAGAGGGCAGGGCGGGCTGTTTTTCCTCCAGTGAATGATTTACTTGCCATCAGGCCATACAGGGTGGGCAGAAATAGGTTTACAGTTGTTATATCAAAAATAATACAGTGAATCATAATACAAGAATAAATTATATGTTTTGCGTACTCACAAGTGTAAACCTACTTTTGCCTCCCCTTGTATAGGCAAACAGATAATGGGGGGCCGGGCAGATCCAGGCGAGGCTCAGTTTCCTCCTGGCCCCGAGGACTGTCCAGCTTCCTTTTCTAGCTCCTTTAAAAAAGAAGCCAGGCAGGCCCCCCAGCACCCGCTCCCAGGTGCCCCGGCCTCATATTTTCTACCCTCCGTGCTGAGAGCTGTTGCCAGTCACTAGTCCCAGGGCTGAGAAGGGCCGGTGATCTCACCATCCCTGGTTGTTCCATTCCTCACTGCCTCTCTATGCCTGGCATTTCCGCCAAACCCTCTCACACAGAGGAAATGGTATTTGCCCTAAGCATGTTGGGAAAAACAGCCCCATTACATGAAAGATGGTTTCTAAATGTGTACAAAGGGGAATGGGGACCTAATCAAAGCCCAGACCAAGAGGTACTAGAAAAAAACAGCGAAGATTGGACGGATCGCAGAGAATCCCCTTTAATCTCTACTCCTTAGAAATGCAATTCCCATGGCACAGGTCAGCCTTGCCACCTGACTCCACCCCTCTCCCTCTTTCTACCCCTTCCAGCAATATGTAGGCTGCATATTTTCCATGTTAATTCTTTTTATTGATTTTAAAGTAGAGGGAAGGAGGGTGGGAGAGGGAGAGAGAGAGAGAGAGAGAGAGAAACATCGATGTCCCAAACATCGGTTGCCTCCCATACACACCCTGATCAGGGATCGAACCCACAACCTGGGTATGTGCCCCGACTGGAAATCGAACTGTCACCCTTTCAGTGCATGGGACTCAACCACTAAGCAACACTGGCCAGGGCCCATGCTAATTCGTAATGACCCAAATCTTACTGATTGGGATGAGAAGTTGTTAAGGGGAGTATAGAGCTTGCATATATATATGAAATGAGGGGGAAATCTGCCATTTTTGGCCTAATTCACACACCTTGATGGTACTTGGGGTAGAAGAAAAGGATGTATTGGGTTCAATGGTAAATGCCACAGGACTGGTGATATTGAATGTTGGGTCTGAAATATTTCCAGGTGACATGCTGGGCTCCAAGGTCATCTCTGAAGTTGAAAAGTTGGTTAGGGTGGAAGACACTATGGTGGCTAAAGAGGTCTGTGTCTGGGCAGAAGAGTTCACGGTTCCAGGAACTGGGGTGATCCCAGAGGTAGAAGTAAAGTTGACTGTAGACTCTGGAAAAGACCAAAACACAAGTGTGCATTTGAGCACATTTGCATAAACACACACACACACACACACACACACACACACACACACACACACACACATTTCAGTTCATTGTCATGAGTGAAGACCTTATAGATAATGACATTGGCATGGTCTTCAACCCAGAAGAGGGAATTTGGGGATTTAAGAGTTACTTTATGGCCTAACCCTTACTGAACTCATTTCAAGCCAGCTGTTGGGACCATAGCTGTAATCTAGGTGTATTAGAATTCCCTCAGGATTCTGAAACTTAACTGGATGCTGGTCCACTCCAGTGAAGTCAAAGACCCTCAATTTGAAGCTGTACACACCTTCCTTCACTCAGGAGAGGTCAGAGATCTCTAGGGAGTTCTCATCTAGTCCTGTTTCATCACTAAACCCGACTCAGCATGAGAGCAGCAGTACAAGGAGCATGACTGATCAGGATCAGCTGCCAAGGCATTGGCCTGAGGACGCTGTCACTGAAGGAAGAATGATCTAGAACTTACTTCAGGGTACCCTAAACAAGATGCCCAAGCCATTATTATAGGAGCTTGTATTTCCCTCTATGGGGGTCAGCAGGGGCAGGAAGGGTGGTCTGCAAATGTCCTAATGCTTTACCCAAGCTCCAGCAGCATCCCTCTGGGACCCAAGACAAACACTTTTTACCTGAGATGGCTGCTGTGGTCCCACTGCTGTTCTGAGAGACAGGGTAGAGGGTGGTACTTTCATGAGTCCTTTGTGTTATGGGTTCCTGGTTGGATGCATTTGTAGGAACAGCTGAAAACATTCCTATAGTAGATGGCTCTGTGGCAACAGTAGTCAAGTTATCTGTATTTGTGAATGCAGAGGCTGTAGGGAAACAAGGAGGAAAAGTCAGAACCTAAATTGTCTTGGAGCCTCATGATATCACCTGATTTAATTTCTATTTCTTTTTCTCCTCCTTCTCCTCCTCCAACTTCTTCTTTTTCTCTCTCTCTATATATTTGTTAATCCTCACTCAAGGATATTTTTCTCATTGATTTTTAGAGAGAGTTGGGGGTGGGGGGAGAGAAAGGGGAGGGAGTAGGACAGAGAGTGAGAGAGAAACATCGATGCGACAGAGACACATTGATTGGTTGCCTCCCACACATGCCCCAACCCGGGGATCAAATCAGCAACCCTTTGGTCCTTCAACTAATGCTCTAACCACTGAGAGAACTGGCCAGGGTGTGATTCAATTTCCATCCAGAATATCCTGTGCTCGCCTCAGCAGCACATATACTCAAATTGGAATGATACCGAGAAGATTAGCATGGGCCCTGCGCAGGATGACATGCGAATTCGTGAAGCGTTAGAACATCTCCTGCCACCCATGGCAAGGCAACAGCAACAAGAACATCCTCCTGGACAGGCAACTAATTTCCCACGACTAGATTTTTCCTAAGGAAATAGGGAAGGAAAAGCTTGTATACACCCAGTGGCTTGTAGAGTATTATCTATAGGAGGATTATCTACTATTATTTATAGGAGGGAAAAGTTGCAAGCAACTAAAATGAATTACAATAGGATAAATGTCATATGTACCGAAGATACCATAATCATTATACATAAAGAGATATGGGAAAACTATAGCAATATGAGTATGTGAGGCTATGCTCATAACATGTTAAGTAAAATATTAAAATATCAAAGTATACCTGAATAAATATTACAGAGATCGAAAATGTGGAGAGGATATATCTCTATTCCTTTCTTAACGTATCCTCTCTTTTTCTCACTCTCCATCCACCACCATATTAATTCTTGGAACAATCACTACGTTCATACCATCCTCTATGCAGTCCCTTTACATTTCTTCTCTTCTTCCCAGACTTTCCCATCCCCAAACTCCCCGCATTCTTTCCCTCATGGCCTTTAAACCGATTCTGCTTTCCTTCGGTTGAAGAACTGCAGCCAGCAACCCTAAGGTTGCCTTCGGGAAGCTCTGCCCTAGACATCTAGCTGACGAACTGGAGAACATCAGGCCAGATTTCTCATCAGATGCAGATGGAGAGTTTAGTTTTGGGGATTCTGCTTTCCTTTGGTTGAAGAACTGCAGCCAGCAACCTAAGGTTGCCTTCAGGAAGCTCTGCCCTAGAAATCTACCTGACGAACTGGAGAACATCAGGCCTGATTTCTCATCAGATGCAGATGGAGAGTTTAGTTTTGGCTCTGCCAGAAACTCTGCAATTTCGCGCGCATGTGTGTGTGTGTGTGTGTGTGTGTGTGTGTTTTGGCTCTGCCAGTAACTCCGCAATTTCATGTGTGTGCGCGCGCGTCTCAGTTTACAAATCTCTAAAGTGAGGGTTCTTTCCTTACGTGGGTTCTTGGGAGAATCAGTGAGATGAATGTTAACTTGCTACAGTATAATGTTCCTGGATCTAGTTCTTCTCTGAAGATCCTCACGAGGGTGCCTGCCCTTCCATGTTTCCTAGTTCCCAGCCAGCAGTGCCATCTTTAGACCCAGGGAGGAGCCGCTTCCTGCCTGGACCCTGAGCTTTAGAGCCCACACTCTGTCCCTCCTCCCGCCCTGCGCTGCCCTCCAACCACGGTGCCCACAGAGACGGAGCCTCCCTTCCAGAATCTGCACTGGGGGCCAGAAGTCCTAGAACGTGTTACTCACTGGAGGGCCCGCACGGGCCTTTTCTCCCAGCCCATCCTTCGGGGGGTGAGCTGCAGCACCAGAGTGTGCGCCCGCCAGGCCCAGAGGCGGCCGAAGGGTGGCTCTTTGCAGGGCGAAGGCTTAGAGCATAAGCGTGCGGGTGGAGGGACCCTTGCATGCGTGGAAGATCCCTTATGGTGCGGGCCAGCGTCATGGTTAAGAAGAGAAAAGAGGGGTGGGCTAGGACCAAGGGACACCTCTTCTTGCTCAGCCACATTGTGGGACTGAGTTCACATGCATGGAAGATCCCTTATGGTTTGGGCCAGCGTCATGGTTAAGAAGAGGGGTGGGCTAGGACCAAGGGCCACCTCTTCTTGCTCAGCCACATTGTGGGACTGAGTTCCAGGACCGTGAGAGTCTCATTCAAACCTGGCCTTTCGGGTGGCCATGAAGATATGTTTCCCCAGGTAGGAGAACAGACGATATTTTATTTATCAGTCAGTTGGCTTGGTTTATAACTTTGACGTGTTTAGACATGTAGTATGTGGGCCTCCACTGTACTCCTGGCTTGGACCCTGTACATGTCCGCAGTGGACTGGAGATCCAGGGCTCACACCCAGCAGTACCATCCTCAAGGAGAGGCTCCTGGGGGTCCCCAAAGCTTGTCTCTAAATGTTCCCGATTGAGAGCCAGGTGCGCCTTTTTCCGAAGTTTCCAGGAAAAAGCAACATCGAATGACACCTTTCCCTTCCCTCAGCAACAGGAGGGAAGTTCGTCTTCAGTTTTAAGGCAATTAACCTGGGGCCAAGAATGTGTCCCTAGAGATGGCGACAAGTCTCTTGCCCCATATCTGCCTCCCTCCCCAACCTGGCGCAAGAAGACTGCTATTAAGGGCAAGGACAACAGTCATCTTAATACTAGGTGGCAGGTGAGCAGGAGGACAGAGTAATACCGCTCTCTCCGTTTCAGAGATGAGAACCCGCATCGCCAGGGTTTGGGCAGAGAAGAAAGGCATAGTTCATGCACGGCGAGGAGCAATGGGGCCGTGGAGGTTTAGCTGACTCGGGGGCCAAACTTCCCAGGACCAGCAGGCATCCTCCGTTCTCTGGAAAGAAAAGTGGGGGGCTCCTGTCTGGCTTAGGCAGGGAGTGAGTTTAACAAAATGAAATAGACGGGGGAGCAGATTCCGTCTTCTTCTGTCCTTCAGTAAGACCCTCTCAGCAATCTGCCACTAAGGGATGGAGTCACTGTAGGGGGCAGGTGATAAGAACCGAAGCCATCCACTCCAGGTACATTGCAAGGCACCGCTGGAATCCCCCTTGACGTCACTCTTCCTGCCCACCCTTTCCTCTTCTTCCCCTCCAATACATCCATTCCTGGGAATCCCATCTGGCCCAGCCCGGCCCAGCCCTTTTCTCTTCCCGAAGGAAGCTGGGCCTGGCTGAGGTGATGTCATGCTGTTGAACCCCCTCCCCCAGGGCCTCCTTCACCCAGACAAACAGTTTTGAACTTTTCCAGATGTGTCCAGAGACCTGCTGCTAGTTCTGAGGACAGAGGTGCCTGTGCCAGATGAGTGAAGCAACCCTAGGCCCAGGCCAGCTACCAATCCACTAGGGTCGGGCTCCCGGCTGCCGCCGCCTCCTCCCACCCACCCCTCAGCCGAGCACTGAGGATCCATCTGCAAATGGCAATGGGACCCCAGCCTCACATTCATGTCTCTGAGCCTAGGGTGAGCAGGGAAGCCTCGGAGACGCTGGGGAAGCTGAACAGAGATGGAGAACAGAAAGGCGACGCATAAGCTGGTGAAGGGCCAGGGGGCAGCTCAGCAGGACCTTGGGAGACGATCCTGGCTTGGTGCTGCAATCCAGGGACCATCAGTGAGGGAGTCTCTTGGCTTCACAGTCTCTAGGGACCCTTTTATAGAGTTCGTTCCCTTGAAGAGACTGGGGTCTTGAAGAAATGACATTTATAAGAATCAAGACGGGCCACAGACCTCTTTGCGTCCTACTTCCCCCCACACACCCATGGCATTAAGCCTTCGACTCTGACCTTTTTTTATCTGAACTTCTGTTCCCTTACTCTGCGGGGAGGGACAGCAGCCTACCAGTCAGATTTTTAAAAGCAATGGGTAAGACCTGCACTCCATCCACTCCACTCTAGACTGGAGGCACAGGCCTCCACCAGACCGTATGAGAGTTCAACTTCAAATAGAAGGAAACGCTATCTTCTCTTGTTTACTTCTCAGTCCATCTTTATTAACTGGCACTCAAGGAATTTATAATGGAACTAACGTGGCAAGACCTCTACTCAGGAAACAGCTTACATGATTTGTCCTCTGTAAGTGATGGCGATGCAAGTCCTAAGGTCTTAGAGAAGCAGAAGGAAAGGGGCCTGCACTGAAGACCCGCGGTATGCTATGTGATCTCCACTCTCGACATGGAGCAAGAGAAGAAGACAAGGCCTCAGGGAGTTGGCAATACGAGGATTCTCCGAAGCCACGTTAGATGTCACAAAATTGATGTAGTAAAAGTCACATTTAACTTACAGGCACTTATTCAGAGGCAATTATTCTTGTTTTACACACAATACTCTCAAGTTGCTTATTTGATATATTAGCTAAAGCTAAAAATTAAAAAGAGACCCTTGGAAACAAACAATAAATAAGGAGAAGCAGCAGCTAAAAGTGAAGAAACAGAAATAAATGAAAAACAGACATGAGTATCAAAACCCACACACTAGCCTGGAATCATTTATGGGAGGAGTAAGTAAATACATACACCTTCATCAGCATTAGAATGTCACTGAGTTGTACCTTGAGCAAATTATTTTCATGATATATTTGAAGCATGAAGGTTAAAGCCCTATTTTTTGGTACACTTAAGGAAGCAGAGGAGTCTGAAATACATTTTTATAAGATTTCTACCTATAACTAGTAAATTGAAGCTATTGTTACTCTTTAAAGGGGGGTAGGTGTGGGGTTATAAATCCTCAGCAATTCAGAAAGGCTACCTAAATAACTCAATTTCCACACCTTAGGAGACTGGGTTTTCCTGGCCTTGGTCTTAGTTTTTCTTAGACCCTTAGTTTTATTTTTTTGCTGGTGTTTTCTGACCTCCTAGCCAGTCAGCCCCATTCGGCCCATTCTTTCAAATTCTAGCAGCCAGCCCACCAGGAGTTTCTTGGAGGAGTTCCTGGGTGTCTCAGCTCATAGAGATGCAGTCCT